TCGCGACAGAAAAGCCGATCAGCTGATCATTAAGCAGTTTCATGATTGAAGTAGCAGCAGGAGAGGGAGAGAGAGGCAGTTGCTCCATATATCGAGTGTTAAGCTTTACAAACATTCAGAGATGAACTTACACACTTGCTTTACTTCTCTCTGGGATAACTTCCTCGGAGATGAAATGCTGGTTTGGTAGCGAGGCTACAAATACACACAGCCGCTCTATCACGTGAGCACACTGCTCCGACGTTCTACGGTTATGAGGCGAGTTACGCCATGTCCCAAGTTTTGTGAGGTGCTTTTTTGATATTTAATAGATCGGATTACATTTTTTATTTCTCTCAAGAAAAGAAAGTTTAGATTAGATTTTGCCAAAAACTATCAACAGATAAAACTGAGCTCCTACCTTACCAGAAGGACAGGTATAAAAAACGATGGAAAACTCATGATCAGAAGAAAATAACAATACCTGAAAAACAAGGTGCAAAGCTATACTTTCTGCACAGGTTCAGTGAAATGCAGCAAAGCTGGTGGACAATAACCTGGAGCAATCACAGGGGTTTTGCATAAGTCTTCACCATGCTGAGCATGCTTTACACTCGCAGAAGACCAACAAAAAAGTCACAAATCAAGACAGCTGCATTAAAGCATCACAACGGAGGAAATCAGTGGCGATATCAATGGGTGTAGGTAACCATTTACTGCAAGAATTCTCAATGAAGTATAAAAAATAAGATTTTTATTTATTATTTATTGTCTTCATTTAGATTTCATTTCTTGATAAAAGTGGACTATGCATGAAAATGGCTCTTTATCAGCAGTTAATGCTGTGTTTTTGTCCATCCCCTTAAATTAAAGTTACAAATCTGTAAGTCTAGGTTCATCATAGTATTGTCTTTAATATGATTTAATAATCAACTTAAATAACATCAAATTATGTCAGTGTCCAAAAATATTTGCATCTAACTGTAAAAATGATTTTTTATTATCTGTCTTTAATGGCAATCCACGTCATATTTCTTATATTATTTACATTATTTATGCACATTTGTTTTTATACTAACCTGTAATTTGTTGATACAGGTTATTACAGGGTTGTTATTTTTTATTACTTGTAATTTGTTATTAATTTGTTATTACATAAGTCTAAGTGAACTTCTAAGCAACAAATTACTTCTACATTTTGGTTTGGTGTATCAGCTTGTTCCCACTACACTCTGTATTTGTGGGATATGTACAATCACCATGTAGTTTATTTGATGGAAACATTTTTTGAAGCCTTTTAATTGCATGCATTATGTACTTAATATCAATACCTTTCTAACATGGCACAGAAGTTTTTTACAGGGCTTTGCGAAAACAAAAATTAATAATAGTAATAATAATAAATAAGTAAACTTTTGCAGTGGCGAGCTAGTTTGAGCTTCCTGTCCTGCTGTTCTGGAATACTGATTGTGAGAAAAACAATTTTGGTGGACTCATTGCATATTTAAAATAAATTTGCCACCCTGATTGTAAAGGTAACAGTCTTCTTGTGTATTCTCAGCCACACAGTCTGCCAAAGTTTATCAACCCCACATATTACTGAGTGCTCAGAATTTTTTTTTTATCACGTTTTATTTTTTGACACTTTCAGCA